TGCGGTGGGTCAGGCGAAGACGGCAACCTTGCGCGGATGTACTTGAATGGAGTGTGAATCGGCATGTTCAGCCAGTCGGCGATGACGCGTTCTGCTCATGCGCTCTTGTTATCAGAGAACCGAGCCAGGAAAAAACCGAGCCGAACCCACCTCGGGAACTGGTCTGCAGTTAGCGCGATCCGGTTATGTCTATCTCGGTTCAGTTCAGGTTGTTTCCGTTCACACACGACAAGTTATCTCAGTTACTGAGCTCGGACCGGTCTCGGCTCAGTTTTTTAAGGGTAGTGTAAACGGGGTAAATGTCTGTGACCACAGCTCTCTTGTGGCTTGTCATTAATTTAGGCTTATTGTGTCTCTATGTGATTGCTTCAATCTGGTGTAATCTCTTTAATGCATGAAAAACCAAATGTAGCACATGTTTGTTGGCAATAAATTAAAAACGTTCATCTCCTTCTGCCTTTTTATGGCTGCTGATAAAATCTGTTTATACTTTTGTTTTATCAAAAACATTTAAAGCTCTAAAGGGGAAGGTCAACTTAACAGCCACATATGGAAATATGTCATTGCCAATTATTGCATCAATCCATCCCCTAATTAAAGGTACCCTGAGAATGTTTTTTTTTTTTTTCAGGTGAAGCAATTACTTTGTATGAGGTTCATTGCATAAATTGGTGACTTTAGATTTTGCTGTCTAAAATCTACACCAACCACAAACCTGAGAACAGCTTTTCTGAATTTACTGAAATAGTTCTTGTAATCGGAAATTTAAAATCTGAACATTTAGGGTTTTAGCTTCTCAAATTAACTTTGCCATACATTTCCTACTGATCTGTGTATCCGTTTCTGAGTGTGTGTGTGTGTGTAAACTCCTGGAGTGCTTGATATGATTATAAAAGTATTTTATATGAGACAATCTAAAGTCGAAGGGAAATCATATTTAAATTTCAAATTATTCTGGCCTAAAAAGGTATATAAACGTACTCTTTATCAGACCATATTGTCCCAGAATTTAGAACATTTCTATTTTAAAAAAAATCCTGTCCTAAGGTTCGTGGTTTTTTTTTTCATTATCTTATGCAGGCCAGTTAGTTATACGTCAGCTTGTACACCTAATTTCGGCCAATCATATATCAACGGTCATCTGTCAATCAAATTTTTTCAGTCATAGTATCTTGATTTGTATTACGCAGCTAATATAATAAGAAATAAGAATCATTTACTTTCCCATCCCAGTGTTCACAGGGATGGACGTCTGTGTCTTCAGCAGGCGTAGAGCTAACAGAACTGGCAGCGTTGCGAGGCAAGGGCTCAAACATGTACGGCTGGAAGCCTTCTACACCAAACCAAGCTTCTGCCGCCCTGGCATCCTCTTCAGCAACAATTTCTTCCCCGCTTTCCTCCTCTGAATAAAAATGTATGACAGAGGAGACTCATCCACGACCTCCGACACAGAACTCTCCTCCTCTTGCATGTTTCCGCTGTCCATAGCGTTCCTTGACAGTGTTGTTTCTAAGACACCAATTTAACGCTACTTGGTCCCAATGGAATTTCCCATTGGGAACCTACTAGCACTAAGCACTAAAGTTGTTAAATGGTTAGCAAGATGCTTCCGAGACACCGGCCACAACCAAAATTTCGCCACAACAATCCCAGCATTCTTCAGATTTTCATGTATAAAGTATTTTAAAAACTGGCATAATTTCTGCAAGTACTGATATGGCTCAGTCTACGGTCAGACTGAGGAGCCTTAGTGATATTTAGGAGGAGAATTTCATAAAGTTTGTGTTTTGAAAAAGACTAAAGCATAGACAGGGTCATGGGGTAAGGATAGTAAGAGTTTAATGATAAAGTGTGAAAAAAAGAAACAGAAGAACTAAATGTAACACAGGAAGTAGAAACACAGGCAGAAACCAGGAGGAAAAGAAGAACAGCCATACAGAAAGAAAGTAACAGAAGAAAGATCAACTTCAATACTGAGGGAAGAGTGGAGAATGACATTGGATGCAGGTGATAATTTGGAACAGCTGGGTAGAATGGAAGCAGGAAATTAAAAGGAGAAGACTAATTAAAACAGAAACAGCTGTACTAAGACCCAAATAAACAAAATTGAATACACATGGTAAGGATCATAGGCAAATATTAATAACCTAACTATTTAACTGATTGTCATTTTCCATGCACTGTGAGCTTTCTGCCTCCTTGCTTTCAGCCTTGAAGGTTTCTGCATGGCCGCTCCACCATCCACCTAAACTTTGGGTTTTGTTTTATTGTGCTACCTGAGGGACTCGTTTCCCCCATCAGGTTAGGGTTTGTTTGTTTTGTTTTTTTCCTAAACCTATCGAGGCCTTTATTATCTGCTTTTCAGCAAGAAAGATTATTATATTTAAAGCTTTGCATCATTTTAACTGTCTAACTATCAATTGGGTGCTTAATACTTTTGATTGTTTATTTGCACAGTAATTAACCTTTGGAGGCTAAGTTTTGATGGAAAATATACCAGATGTTTATTGTCCGTACATTTCCTGCAATATGCGGCAATGACCAACAGAAAAGTTAGAAACTTTATTTATTTTATTATTTATACATGTTGCCTTTTGCTTTTTACAATATTGACAATGTAGCAGAAAACAGGAAATGAGAGCCATACTTAACTTAATTATGTTGTTCCAAATAATATTCTCAACTTTTGCTGATTTTCTCTATTCAAGCTGAAAGAAATAGATTTTGTTTTGTGTGTGAGTGTGTTTGTGTGTGTGTACCTGTCTAGCCCTCAGATTGAGGACCATTTTTCCAATTTCACCATCAAACTGAGGACCATTTGTTGCAAAGTGAGGACATTTTGCTGGTCCTTACAAGCCATTTTGCTAAATGATTATGTTTAGGGCTAAGGTGTCAGTTGGGTTAGGATTAGGGTGAGGTATGCATTGGTAATGGTTAGGTTTAGGGTTAGTTTTAGGGTTAGGGCATAGAAAGGGTTGAAAATGACTGACAATTAATGGAAGTCAATACATGGTCCTCAAGAGAGAGAGAAAATAAAACAAAACAGCAAAAATAGACAATAAAAATGTACAGTAAGTCCTAGAATGATGCTTCCATACCTGTATGAGACATAAAACAAAGAAGATTAGATATCCATGTTTGGAAGGCAAAATCTATGCTGATTACACAATATTATTTAGGGTGGTATACGTATATCTCTAGCTGCAGCTTAGTTTTAGATTTTTTCTTAAATTAGATTTATATCTGTTCATTTTTAGTCCATCCTTGTATAACATGAGGAGGTTCCTGTATGATATCAAAATCTATTCCAGTTTTTGAAAGTAACTCTGTGTTTTTTGTAATCCCAAAACACTCAGACATCCATTTCTGAGTTTTGTCGTTCCTGCTGATGCACAGAGGCCTCGCTCTGCATCTTCTCTGCAGTGGATCCGGTGGCAGATGGAGGATTGGCTGCGGAGATGGAAACCAGTGCCAGAACCTTGCTGGGTTCATGCTGGACCATCACAAGTGATTTGTGTCAACTTCCTGGGACTCAGCAGAGGGCTGTGTTAGCATTTTTCAGATACGTGTTTGGAGTGCAAAAAGGACATTATGTGAAGAGAAGAAAATCAAACACAGGAAAACTGTATTGATACGTTTACTTCATTAGGAACCTCATTTTGTGTCTGTGATACTTTTAATCCTCTTTTTATCGACTCTCTGCTGAGCATTATTTGCTTTAGATGTAGTTCTCCTCAATTCAACACATACTGTTAAAATGCCACCATTTATACATGAAGAGACCGTGATAAATCATATGTCAACTATTTTCTTAGTATAATGGAACATTGAGCCAGTTCAATTTAAGTGAAAACCCTGTTAGAGTGAAGAAAATTAAAAAGGAAGCAAAAATGTTAACTCATGGATTACAAAGTTCATGTTGGGTTAGTACTAAAAGGTTTGTTTGCATCTCGGTGATGAACATTTCTTTAAATAATCCAAAGAAAAAAATAGAATATATATTAAATAATAAAAAAAATCCTGCGCTGCTTTGATTTAGCAGACAGAACATCTATTTTTAAAAACAAGTGGGAAAGGCTCATTTTATAAAAGCTCTTTCAAATTGAGCTCTTTCATAAAAATCTCACTTTCAAAACTTTGAATATTTTTTATTTTGTTTTTTGTTTCATGAAGTTGCATATTCAAAGGATTCAAAGCCCTCATCTCTGCATTAACAATATCCCCATTTATTGTTTTGAGCTGTGGAGAGTTTTTTTTGGCTCTAAATGAAAAACCTTCATAACTCATAGAATAGAGGCGAATTGTTATTGAAGAAAATGTTTAGAAATATTCTGATTAAGTGATTGCATGTCGCATCAAGTTGAGGAGTCTTCACATTCTGGCATGAAATACAAGTTATGTGATCCTTTCCAGATGGACCACCATACGTTAAACAAACAACATTAAGTACATTAAAACACATCTAAACACAATTTTATTGCATTTTATGAATCACAGTAAACTCCTTATTTTATGATATGCGAGACCTGATTTCAGTTGTTCACTTGTAGCATCTTAATAAAGGATGTGGTTACATTAACCTATGCAATGGGACATTACTGTGAATTTTTTCTCAATTGTAACTTTGATCTAAAAAGTTTGACTTCCACACACACACAAAAATCCCTTTTATACAAAGCTGAAAACTCCCAAAATTTTAGAAGAGAACATCACCTTTAACAATGTACCATAAAAATATTTTACATACACTTGCTGCATCACTTCACTGAAGCTACAGTGTTTTGACATTTTGATTTTAAAAGCAAACTTAGCATTGCTTCTTCTGTACAAGTTTATAGAAAAGAAAAAGAGATCAACATCATATCTGAACATAACAGATTAGAAATTCTGCACATTATCAAACACTTCATAAAAACTGGAACTGTATCCGGCAGTTCCAAAATTAAAAAGCAACATTATGCAATGCGTTCCAAAAATAGCATCTGTACCTTTAAAACCCTTAAAATGGGAAGAAATCTACTGCTTATGTTATCTTTCACTAAATGTAAATTCTGAAAAGTGTCAAAACAGGCGCTTACTTTTTTAAATCATAGTCAGCTGGTAGTGAAGGCAAGCTCTGGCATCTTTAGGCATGCTGGCCTCTGTTACTATAGATATTTTCTGACCACATTTGGTGAAGAAAAAAAAAAACAGCAGTCTTGGCTTGTTTTTATGATGCTGAATGTGCAAAATGCTGGACGGGAGATTTTTTTTTTTCTTGCTGGTTAAACAAAATTCCAAACAAAGGAAGCAGAACCAAAAGCTGGCAAAAGGCCCTCTGAAAAGGCCGTCAATACATTCATGCAAAAAATAAAATAAAAAAATAAATAACTGATATAAAAAGGGTCAAATAGGAAAAGGAAAATAAAAATAGTTCCAGAAACTCCAGACAAAGAAAGTCAACTCAGCGTTGTGTGGAGCTAACAATAGATGGCGCTGTTGGGTGCCTCTTCCTCTCAGAGGAGCCAGAGGAGTAAATGTACATTTTGTTGTTGTTTCCAAACTGAGCATTAGACACATTGGAGTATTGAACGTAGAATGCCTGAGGCGGTGACGGTCGGCTGGGGAAGCTTTCCGGACTGGAAATCTGACGCTATAGAGAAAAGATTGATTAGAAATGTTTATGTTTTGGTTGTGAATGAAAAACCCTGTTTAAACATCAAAGAGAGTCTGGCTGCAAGCCTGCAATGCCAGCACCTAGACCTGCACTGCTAGAACCAAGACCTGCACTGCCAGCACCCAGACCTGCACTGCCAGAACCTAGACCTGCACTGCCAGAACCCAGACCTGCACTGCCAGAACCTAGACCTGCACTGCCAGAACCTAGACCTGCACTGCCAGAACCCAGACCTGCACTGCCAGAACCCAGACCTGCACTGCTAGAACCCAGACCTGCACTGCCAGAACCCAGACCTGCACTGCTAGAACCCAGACCTGCACTGCTAGAACCCAGACCTGCACTGCTAGAACCCAGACCTGCAATGCCAGCACCCAGACCTGCACTGCCAGAACCTAGACCTGCACTGCTAGAACCCAGACCTGCACTGCTAGAACCCAGACCTGCAATGCCAGAACCTAGACCTGCACTGCCAGAACCCAGACCTGCAATGCCAGCACCCAGACCTGCACTGCCAGAACCTAGACCTGCACTGCCAGAACCCAGACCTGCACTGCTAGAACCCAGACCTGCACTGCCAGAACCCAGACCTGCACTGCTAGAACCCAGACCTGCACTGCCAGAACCCAGACCTGCAATGCCAGCACCTAGACCTGCACTGCTAGAACCAAGACCTGCACTGCCAGCACCCAGACCTGCACTGCCAGAACCTAGACCTGCACTGCCAGAACCCAGACCTGCACTGCCAGAACCCAGACCTGCACTGCTAGAACCCAGACCTGCACTGCTAGAACCCAGACCTGCACTGCTAGAACCCAGACCTGCAATGCCAGCACCCAGACCTGCACTGCCAGAACCTAGACCTGCACTGCTAGAACCCAGACCTGCACTGCTAGAACCCAGACCTGCAATGCCAGAACCTAGACCTGCACTGCCAGAACCCAGACCTGCAATGCCAGCACCCAGACCTGCACTGCCAGAACCTAGACCTGCACTGCCAGAACCCAGACCTGCACTGCTAGAACCCAGACCTGCACTGCCAGAACCCAGACCTGCACTGCTAGAACCCAGACCTGCACTGCTAGAACCCAGACCTGCAATGCCAGCACCTAGACCTGCACTGCTAGAACCAAGACCTGCACTGCCAGCACCCAGACCTGCACTGCCAGAACCTAGACCTGCACTGTCAGAACCCAGACCTGCACTGCTAGAACCCAGACCTGCACTGCCAGAACCCAGACCTGCACTGCTAGAACCCAGACCTGCACTGCTAGAACCCAGACCTGCACTGCTAGAACCCAGACCTGCAATGCCAGCACCCAGACCTGCACTGCCAGAACCTAGACCTGCACTGCTAGAACCCAGACCTGCACTGCTAGAACCCAGACCTGCAATGCCAGAACCTAGACCTGCACTGCCAGAACCCAGACCTGCACTGTTAGAACCCAGACCTGCACTGTTAGAACCCAGACCTGCACTGTTAGAACCCAGACCTGCACTGCCAGAACCCAGACCTGCACTGTTAGAACCCAGACCTGCACTGTTAGAACCCAGACCTGCACTGCTAGAACCCAGACCTGCACTGCTAGAACCCAGACCTGCACTGCCAGAACCCAGACCTGCACTGCCAGAACCCAGACCTGCACTGCTAGAACCCAGACCTGCACTGCTAGAACCCAGACCTGCACTGGCAGCACCCAGACCTGCACTGCCAGAACCCAGACCTGCACTGCTAGAACCCAGACCTGCACTGCTAGAACCCAGACCTGCACTGCTAGAACCCAGACCTGCACTGCTAGAACCCAGACCTGCACTGCCAGCACTCAGACCTGCACTGCTAGAACCCAGACCTGCACTGCCAGCACCCAGACCTGCACTGCTAGAACCCAGACCTGCACTGCCAGAACCCAGACCTGCAATGCCAGAACCTAGACCTGCACTGCCAGAACCCAGACCTGCACTGCCAGAACCCAGACCTGCACTGCTAGAACCCAGACCTGCACTGCCAGAACCCAGACCTGCACTGCCAGAACCCAGACCTGCACTCCCAGAACCCAGACCTGCACTGCCAGAACCCAGACCTGCACTGCTAGAACCCAGACCTGCACTGCTAGAACCCAGACCTGCACTGGCAGCACCCAGACCTGCACTGCCAGAACCCAGACCTGCACTGCTAGAACCCAGACCTGCACTGCTAGAACCCAGACCTGCACTGCTAGAACCCAGACCTGCACTGCCAGCACCCAGACCTGCACTGCTAGAACCCAGACCTGCACTGCCAGCACCCAGACCTGCACTGCTAGAACCCAGACCTGCACTGCCAGAACCCAGACCTGCAATGCCAGAACCTAGACCTGCACTGCCAGAACCCAGACCTGCACTGCCAGAACCCAGACCTGCACTGCTAGAACCCAGACCTGCACTGCCAGAACCCAGACCTGCAATGCCAGAACCTAGACCTGCACTGCCAGAACCCAGACCTGCACTGCCAGAACCCAGACCTGCACTGCTAGAACCCAGACCTGCACTGCCAGAACCCAGACCTGCACTGCTAGAACCCAGACCTGCACCGCCAGAACCTAGACCTGCACTGCTAGAACCCAGACCTGCACCGCCAGAACCCAGACCTGCACTGCCAGAACCCAGACCTGCACTGCCAGAACCTAGACCTGCACTGCCAGAACCTAGACCTGCACTGCCAGAACCCAGACCTGCACTGCCAGAACCCAGACCTTCACTGTTAAAACCCAGACCTGCACTGCCAGAATCCATTGTTGCAGACCTGCAAAATGGGATCTCCTGTACTGTTAGGACCGGAAGTTTATTCCGGATGATTAAAGTTTATGACAGTATTTAACTATAGCCAACTTCGATTGTCATTTAGAAAATGTCTTATAGACCAAATAAGCAATCCAAATACAGAGACTTATTTCTATGTAGCACATATCTATTATTCCAGATAGGAGTTTGGTGGGGAGTATACATGTGCATGTGAGTTTTTTCCATAACAACAGTTGTTTGTGAAAGGAAACTAGCTTCATGAGGAGTTTATCAGCGCTCGCTTTTACTTTAGAAAGGCTTCAGATCAACTTAGCTTTTACTTTGAAAGTCTTTGAATAAACTTCAGGTTCCAACAGTGCAGGAGACCTCACAGTGCAGCTCTGGGTCCTGAAAATGCAGGTCTGCAGCCAGAGACCACTCTCTAAATAACTGAGCGTTAAACCCTACTGCACCTATCTCAGACTATCTCTGGAATAGTTAATTATAGCAGCTGGAGGTTGAACTAGATTATTATGATAGTTTCGGTAGAAATTCCTAAACTTTTAGCCTTAGTTTGGGTCTTTAAAACTTTTTTTTCTATCCAAAAATAGTTTATTTAAAGTCTATATTGATAAAAATATTTATATATATATATATACAGTGTTGTGCCTGAACGCGTTCATTGAATGAAAGTTCATGAACTCGTTCATATTTTGGGCGAACGTGAACTGAAGTACTGTATTACTGCCTGATGAACGTTATTGTGAACTCGTTCATTCTGGTGTCTGTGAACGGCACGCTCTCTCAGTTCAGCTCCGTTCAATAGTTGCCAGATTTCTATGGAGCCCCCCAGGCGAAACCCCGGCTAAATCACACCGTAAACAGGCCTTAATATGTAGCGGGAAAAACACCCAATCTGGCAACACCAGCTACCAGCGTCGTAGCCTACAGCCGCGTGCGTCATCAAAACAAAATGCAGCGTGGAAGCCACAGCAGCATGGAGGCGACCGTGGAGGCGACAAAGCAGCAGTATGATCACTTAAAACAGTTTTATGACCAGGTGGTCGGTGAGGATGATGGCAACAATCTTACATTTCTCTGCAAACTTTGCCCGCCGACTTTCAGTAAAAAAATCAGCACTTCAGTAACCTTAAAATCCTACCTCAGCCTGGTCCCTCAGTTTCTGTCAGTAAAATGTTCTTGAGGGTTTTACTATTCATGTAACTTGTTTGTTAAACCTGCCTGGTATAATTTTCCAGGATTCCTTTTTAGTATGTACTGAAATGGAATTTCAAATTGAAAAAAATATTTAAATAAAAAAAACATTTGCACCTTAAAGACTACTTTCCTATTTTTCTTTTAATAATTACTCATAAAAAAGACCATTCAAGCAGCACATTTTTCCTGATGTTTTTGAGAATATACTGTAGGGGTGAAAGCTGCAGCTGCTACTAGTGTGAAGTGAATGGACAGCAACAAAGCATTAAAGCAACAATGGGGAAATGCTGTCCCCTCAATGCTAATGTAAACCCTGGTTGGATAAGGATTCAAAACTGGATATGAAGATGAAATCTGACGCACAGTTTCAGTGTTACAACTGATAAAATAATTGCTGTCTGTGGTTCTACAGTAGGCTATGGTGTAATTGAGCAATATATGAAAAAAAAAAAAAAACTGAACTAGTTCATTTTTTGGAACTGTGAACTTAGTTCAAAATTTTGAATTATGAACTATGAACTGAACTAGTTCATTTTAAAATGTGTGAACTGAACTTTGAACTAGTTCACGTAGAAAGAGAACTTTCCCAACACTGTATATATATGTATATATATGATGGACATAGAAACTGAAGCATTATGGGGAAATAAATGGTCTAAATTGTGCTCATTGTTTTACAGCATTAAGGTGTTTTGACATATAGTTGGGCCTCACACTGAAACCACCTGAGCGTCTTGTTGAATTCAAAACCACAGCAGAGTTCTGGGACACGACTGCAAATATCTATTTGCTAAAGGACTTTTATTTTCCTCATAATCCTGCTCACTTAGGGTTAGAGTGAACAGAAGGAGGTGGTTGGATGGATCTATTGGGTTTTTAATTTTTTATTTTAAACAAATTTTAGCTTGAGAAAAATTATTCAATTCAATTTGAACATTTTAAGTTGTTTTTGTTATTTCGAACGTACAGTAATGCAGAATAACAGGCAGCAGTGGTATAAACAGGACAGCAGTGACGATGTATAAACACTTCTTTGCTGGTGTTTGTTAAATTGTAGCGAACATTGTGAAACCTGTATGGTACACTGCTAACTACCTAACAAAAAAAGGAAAAAAAATTGATGAGCAGTATATTCAATTAAAAAGACACACAGCTTACTGTACTTTGGCAAATGCATGGTCAAAGGGTTTACCAGATCTGGACAACATTTGACTTTGCATTTTCTTTGTACCGAATTGTGCTATACAAATGATTTGCCTTGCCTTGCCTTGCCTATTGCTGTATGATCACGGCTAATTATTAACTAGTTAGTGAGTCATTAACCCAGGATATTTAGTCATTTCTAGTCATCCCAGCATTGCTTTGGTGTGAGTTACTTTATATGGGAGCCTAATGTAATATTTTCCTGTGTTAGATTAAAAACTATACATATATATCCTGAAAAAAGATAAATATTGCAAGTTCCCCTTACGGTTCTGATTTAGTGATGATCCTTTCCTCCAATAGTTTTAGTCTTTATTCTCTATTATTTGTGATAACTGATCACACTCATTTACAATAAAATCTACTGGTGATACAAACCACCCAGCAATAGTTTCTCTACATTTCTTGACAGCTGATGGATTAAAATCCAATCTCTTAATCTGTCAACACTAAACCACGATATTACAACATTTAGTAAATCAGAGATTTTCTACTGCATTTTGTGCCTCGCATCCAAAAGCAATCAAAACCTGCCATTTTCAAAAGCAAAGCAGAGGTCTGAATTAGAGAGCTGTCGTTAAATAAACAAAAAACTGCACTGTGTCTACATGGATTGTTCCAGTTAGCCCCACCTGCTGGTACATCATTGGCATTAAAACCTTTTTATTTGAATTCAGTATCATGTAGAAGCAGATTTTCTTTTCAAAAAAGGGGGGAAATATCAGTAAAAAAAAAAAATTGCAGCTGGAGCTACAGCTGTACATGTGTTTAATATTGTCAACATGGCCGTCTTCCTTTTTAAAAAAGGTTCAAGATTGTCCTCTTTATGATTGGCTAAAGTTTTCTAATTAAAGTGGCTTCCAGTAAAGCTTTTTAGGAATCGGTTTGTTACAGGGTATCTAGTGACAGACTATTACCTGGTAATTAGACTGCTTTATGTCCTTCAGCCTTGTTGCTTTGGCTGTGGGCTGTGGCAGGGGAGCCTGGGAGGACACCGTCATAGGTTCTACAGAGGATTGGTTGGTTATCTGGGCCGTTGCTGAGGGACCCTGGTCAACTTCACACATGTTTTTAGCGTGGCCAGGTGACGAATCTGAAAAATAAAACATCTATGAATGTTTTTAATCATAATATTTCCCTAACCCTGAGCGGTTTCAGCTATCAGTTACTTACTTTCAACCGGTGCATTGTGTCTTTGATTTTCTCGCTCACCGCCAACCATTTCCTGAAGCACAAAAGGTAAAGCTGTTGGTTAATGTGGCTATGAATAGAGCTCCTTGATATGAAACAATGCTGTCTTCTTTAAATTGTTGGTCAAAAACCATCTAATGACTCACTGCTTCTGAATCATATACCAACACTTTCACAGAACAAGCAGAGTTGCAGAGATTATTTCATGTAGGTGAAATTAGGTCTGTAGAGCCATAGCAAATGGTTTCTAACAGTAGTTCTCCCTTTCATACAAAAACCAGTTTGTGGCCATTATTTAATGTGTCTTAAAAGCTTTTGTAACGTTTGCTTCACCACTCTTTCCTGTGAAAGCCCCTCCAGTGAGGCAGGAAGAGATGTGCACAATAGTTCACCACCGCAGCAAAAAAAAAAACCTGCAGTGAAGTAACACCAGAGGACTGACCGAGTTATTGCAATAAAGAAATATCTTCCCAGTCTGAGTCACAAAGTGTTGTTTTTCTTTTCTTTTTTGGCTTAAAGATCAGCCTTTCTTTCTCTCATCCTCACCATAAAGATGCCAGTCCAAATACAAAATGTAACTTTTAACTACTTTATCTTTTTTTTGGTTCATAAACCCTACTTGCATTAAATTCTGGGTCATTTAACGATCAGAGTCTTCCTGACAGAATTTCTTTAATCCCACCTGAACCGGTGGAGGTCCCGTCTTCACAATGTCAGGAGAAGCGTGGAGTCTTGGGGCCACTGCTGCAACAACTACAAAAAGAGAAAGCAAAAGGTCAAGACAGACAGACATACAGACATTGTTTGATTAATAAATCTAACTGACCGTCACTCTCTGAAATGGAAATCCTGGTAGTCTGCTCAGAAATGATTTCTTCCTCATATTGGTCCTAGAAGGAGGAAGAGAAAATGCGGCTCCGTTTAGGAAAAAATGTGCAGACCCACATAACAATACGATGCATCACATTAAAACTTTTCATCACGTCAGCTTGACTTCACATCTGTTCCTCACCAGTTTCTTTAGGACCTGATGGACGGCATCATGGATTGTGTGCTTGTGTAACTTGTGCAATTCTTCTGTCTCAGTTGTGCATTCTATAAAAAATAAACATACATAAGAAAAACCCAAATTATGTTATGTTCAAAAGTCACTCAAAAATGTTTAAAAAAAATCTTTGCAGGGGCTGATCTGACAAGCACTTTAACTAGAGTTTAATTCAACTCAATCCAGTTCTTCTGTTTGATAAATTTTAATTGTATTTGTTTACACTGTTCCTTATACATTCTCCATCCTTGAATGCTTGTAGCCCCTCCCACTGGCTGACTTTTATTCACAGATATATCCTTGGACTTGTTCCTACATACATATTTATGTGAGCATATGTGTAAAAAACTTGAATCAATATGAATTCATTCTCAGAAAATCATCTTGATGCAGAAACCTGCATCAAGATGCAAAAAAAGCTTTAAAATTCTGCAATGAGGACAGAAGGATCTGATAATGAGAACTTTTTTTATAACCATGTGACCATTAAGTTGCCATCTTGGCCAGAGAAATAAAATGGGTTTTTAATCTCAAGGAGATTCTTTTGCCTGGTTGAGTAAAATAATTCAGTTTGGACAGATGTTTCTCCTTGGCTCTACCTTGGCCCTACTGTGGCTCTACCTTTCTCGTACCTCATCCAAAATAGTTAGATTATCCTTAGTTATATTGTATATTTTATGCTGCTATATATTCAGGTTTCTGGATCACAAAGGGGCCACTTTTCATTCTGCTTTATTCTATCTGTGGTCTCCCATTCTGCAGTATTTGTTAAGTTTCACTCATAACTTTATGTTCTCTCTGCTTTTTCCCATAGTAGCTTAATCTGGCCTGTTCCTGTTTATCTGTGACTCCGTCATGGAAAAAAAAACATCAGCTGTGCTGCTGCCATTAGATTAGGAGCTTGGCATGTTTTTTAGTGTAGTCCTGTTTCTCTGACTGTGACTAAATGTATGAGTTCTCATCCTGTGACATTGGAGTTGGCTCGGAGCTCGTGTGCCTGGTTGTGTGTTTCCTGGACGGGGCCTCCTGTGGAGCTGGTTTACAGTCGCCTTTTTTTATCTCTGCTTCTTTTTCTTGAACCGCAGTCGGCCTCGGCAGATGAGCGCTTTGACTGAGCCTGGTTCTGCTGGAGGTTTCTTCCTGTTAAAGGGAGTTTTCCTCTCCTCTCTTGCTATATGCATGCTCAATATGAGGGATTGCTGAAGAGCCAATGACAAAATGTAGGCAAAAATCACCTCCATAAGCTCATCCGGGAGGACCATGTCTTGCAGGTCAATGACTGGATGCAATCAACTGGTTTTCCTTGTTAGAAACTTTAAACCAATCTAACTGTATTGTCTCTGTATAGTGCTTTGAGATGACGTGTGTTGTGATTTGGCGCTATATAAATAAACTGAACTGAATTAGTCTTTTATGGACATATGCTTCATTCAGATTGGGTTTTTATATTGATACAAAAAATGTTAATAAAAAAAAGGAAATTTTCCAAGTTAACAAGCTGACCTGCTTTAAATTTCATGTTTATACAGGGATATTATGTTTTACTAACCACGGGAGCAAGGCCTCTGGTTGGGATTTGTGTGCCAGCATCGCTGCATGAGGTTGATGAGGGTCGTCAGTCCTGCCACTCCTGCAGCCTGACACCTTATCTCATCTAGAGACGGACGGTCTCCCTGCGGGATGCGTAAACGCACTATGGTGGACCTGGCATCTGCAGAAAAGGAAGGAATCAGAGTCAAAGTTATGTAGAAGAAAACATATTTTAAGAAAATGCCCTCCTATTTTCCTATTAAAGTTAAAACACACTTTTTTCTTCTTCTTTTTTTACAAACAGGCTGGAAAAGTTCAGGGAAACCCCTGATAAAGAAATGTGTTCTTAAGTAATGGTTAAACTTTAATTTTGTTCAAGATAATCCAAAGTTTTTTTTAATAGTTTAAATTATGGCTGAGCCAAACCGTTTATTCCCATCAAAGGTTTATTTTGGCACTTTTTAATGTCGGATTTTCTCACAAGAGGCTAAGGCCGCTATCCCTTACACAACACTATAGTTTTTGGCCTTGAAACTTATTTATTTAAACCAGACATCTCAGTTTTTTACATAATATTCTTACAATATAAGCTGCAGTTTGAAACTGGTCTGATATTTCTGACGACTCCAAAGCATAACATCTGAACTGCTGATGCCGACTGTAAAACTATAACAACCAGAAAAAAGATATTATCAATAACACATTTTTGTTATTTAGGAGAATTTCTTAAGATTTACTGCCAATGCCTAACATTTAGCTGCAAAAAGCTAAATCTGCATGTTAAATTCAAATATGTATAATAAATATATCCTAAATCTAAATATATCTTGATATAATTTCTGCTATAAGAAGGTGAACCCTAACTCATTTAAGACTGAGCTTTAGATTGCTCTGTCTATCCCACTGTCTGTAGGATCACTGTGGATTTTTTTTTATGTATTTATCCACTCAGAGTTTCCCACTTGAGTTCAAAATAAACACTAAGAACCTGCTTGAGTATTAGGTATATTTCTAACTACAGTATTGTAACTATAATTGGCTTTAGATTTCCGGATTTCATCCATTTCACTTGATCTTGTAAAGTAAATAGAAGCATATCCTAAATTAATGCAGTGTCTTTAGCACTCTTTGTGAACTTTGAAGCTTTTCATTTTATATAAAATAGCACTTTTATAGCTTTTATTTGCAATATAAACCTTGTTGAATTTAACTAACCTGAAGCTAAAACAACATAAATATAAATGAAGATAAATGGGTGCTTTTGTAATTTTTTTAAATGAATGTCAGTCAGTCAGTGAGTCAAAGACAACTTAAATAGGCCATAATGTGAAAATCAGCGATATCAGTTTGTTGAATTAACATCAGTCTGAAAACTGTTGCAGTTGCATCACCGTTTAAAGGGGAAGGGTGTAATTTAACTTATTTTAATTACTTATTTCATTCTGTCTTATTTTTGATTTTGCTCTATTTTAATTTTACAATACAAGAAAATTATTTTTGCAAGGTATTAATAAAGTAATTCAGATCTGTTAGTCACCATCAGGTTTAAAAATGGGGGGAAAAAAGGCTTTCAAACATTTTTCCAAACCCAAACCTCCCTTTTTTTTTTCTTTTTCAAATAAACCCAATAAGGAAAGCGTTGAAAGCTGAATTCAGACTGTAAGTAACCTAATATTGACTTACTTGCATATGGCTGTTTTCCTGTGACAATGGACCACAGAAGTATACCATAGCTGAAACATAAAGTTTGTAACAATATAATCAGTAATTAAAGAAATGGATCCAGTTCTGTGAAAGAGGAAATCACAAGAGCTCTTTAATCACATATACTGGAAAGGCTTAGCTGAAACATGTTTCCTCATGTTTCTTACTTCCTCCAACAACTGTTTACTCTTTCACTCATTTAAATTCAATGAATACTGACTATTTCACTCACCCGATCTAAATAAGCAGACATTTTTATTATTAATTCACGAACTTTAAAACTGCTCTGTGATTTTTCTACCTGTAGATATCAGAGGCCCTTGTTGGATCGTATGAAACCTCAAACGCCTCTGGAGGCATGTAGCTGAGAGTTCCTCCTTCCTCTTCACTGTCTTTCTTGGAAACTCGTGTGACGCTGCTGGAAAACCTTGCAAGGCCAAAGTCTGTGAGCTGGCAAGGGGAAGGAGGGATATTAGTACAATTACACTATCACAATAATCCCTTATTATTTACATCCTATATTAGGGGGAGCGACGGTTGCCGGTTCAAATCCCAGCTTCATCCTTGGGCAAGATGCTTCCCCCTAATTGCCCAGTGGCGGGCAGCGGGTAAAGCTATCTGAAGGGCGTCCACAGCCAATGGAGGAATTTCTTTCTCAATCATTGTTAATAGGAGTTTCTAGATGTTACGTATAAATACCAGAAACAAAGGGAATAGGTGTGTTATTGGGATTTTTCCATTTTTAAACTTAAGAATCTGACATCTGTCAGGAATATGTTTATGAATAACAAAATAGAAGCAAAAAATAAATTGATATACAAATACAGGCAATTTAACATTTTAGAATATAAACCATTGTTGGTGCTAAAATTGTTAAGTTTTTCTCAAGATTTTAGTTTCTCCTTCTATTTATTTTAACTGTTAATTATTTATCAACGGTTCAAGGTCTTTTCATTTATTCAAAAGGACAAGAAGGATTTTTTTTTCTGCTAACAAATAAGTAACTGGGTAAGTTTTAAAGGAACACTTTTTTTCAGTTAAAATTTTTTTGTTGTATTTTCTATTTACATTTTTATTGGTAACTTCTCTTGTACTTGGTGAAAATGCTTCATTAAAGGTTCTGTAACTTCTCTTTTTACAGCAAGTACTGTACAGGAGTGATGGGGTGCAATCAGATTTCAAGGGGGGGGGGGGGGTCCAGTGCTCCCACTGCTCCCCCCCACTATGCACCCACTGGTCAGAGGCTTCTTGTGGGTACGGCAGCCTTACTTCTGTCAGTATGCTCCAAACCAGCTGTGGCTACAATACAGCTTACCGCCATCAATGCGAGAATGTCTGCATAAATGGGTGAATGGATGAATATATTGATGTTACTTTGAAGTACTGTGACCTGAAAACATGGTAAATACATCCCGGCCTTTAGCCTATTTCTTCCTTTGGGACATTGATTAATCCTTCAGGATTTTCATCTGTCGTTCAGTAGATCGGATAAGCTTTGTTCTGTTAATAAGAAATGTATTTTAGACTACAAGGACCATGGAGGCTTGTGTCCTCTTTCAATCATCTAGAGCAGGGGTGGTCCAGTCCAGTCCTCAAGAGCTACATTCCGGTAACGTAATTATTTTACATTAATTGTATTTCTCAACCATAATGTTTTTTATGTAATTGGTATTGTAATTTTATCTTGTGATTTTATACTTGTGTTTATTTTTAAGGTTGCCTTTTTTATACCTGGCTGGGGGACTACCGATGAAAATTAGCACTCCTTAGCTAACTCGGGTATATTTACATTGTTTTAATGTTGATTAATGTAGACTGTCCCCTTTCAAATAAACAATAAATGAAATGAAATGAACATTTTGATGCACCCCATTTTTAACACACCTGAATCAAATGAGTGGCTCGTTACCATGACTCTGCTGGGCTAAATAAGGCGATCGAACCTTTAGATTCAGGTGTGTTAGAGAAGAGATGCATCTAAACCTAACAGGATGGTAGCTCTTGAAGACTGGACTTGAACACCTCTGATCTAGAGCAGTGATTCCCAACAGGGGGTAGGCATACCACTAATGGTCCACGACTACATTGCAAGGTGTACATGAAAATGTTTTATTGTTTTAGGTAGTACAATAAAAAGGGCTGGGATCTTTTTTTGCTTCGTGAGGACCTGATTGAAAAAATAAACAAGCTTTCATCAACCAAAAAGTAATTTTTTATTATATGTTTGAGTTCACCTTCAGCTTTGACAAACATCCAAACCAAGCAGAGAAACAGACTGGATGTAGAGAACAGCCTGGGATCTGCTGTTTTTCACACTGAACTATCGGAGCTCATCAAAGCAGCTCAGCTGTCTTGATAAAAACAAAATAAAACTAATTAAGTCAGACTGACTATAATTTCTGTTCAGTGTTTTGTTCCCATTTTATCAGGTCTAAATTTGAGTATAAGGGAGTTTCTCAGAGAAGCTCCACTTTTATAAATAGAGGTTTATAATATGATTTTATTTTGCATTTATTTCGACAACTTCCAGGCAACGTATTTATGTTGTTTTTTATTTTTTTGTTTTTACTTGAGATTGAAAAAAATAAAATGCCCTAGACTTAAATGCTCAAATTAAAAGATTAAGTAAAATAGCTTTATTTTACAATCAGTTGTACTTTCCACTTTTGGACAATCATCAATTCTTTTGACTGAGAGGGGTACAGAAAAGGTTGGGAAACAGTGATCTAGAGGACAGATTCTACAGAGTGATGGGCTGCAGGAAACAAAACAAAAAAAGCCAATTGGATTTCCTAAAACCACTTTTTTTCTCCTTAACCTGCCGTGGAATTTGTAAGAAAACATTGTTAACAACTTTTAGAACTAAATAATATATCTTATACATTGACAGCACAGATAAAAAGTCTGTTTAAACCAACATCAGCATAAATGTAATATTAACCATTCTTTGTCCAGGGGACTACTGAACAAGCAACTTCAAAGAATGTAAGAATAAGAATTAGTTGCACACATTTTGGGTATTCTAACTCTGCTCTAATCCATTCAGTATAAAACAATGCATTTAATTTTCCTTTTTTATTGATCTATCCCTGATATACTGATAGGTCAGCCAGTGAAACAGCTTTAAAACATGATGCTACCACCACCATTCTTTACATTTGCTGCAGTGCTCATGGGTTGGAAAGCCTTACTCTGGTTTTCCAAACATATTTCTAGATGCTGTAACAATAACACCATTAGAGCATTTCAAGAACTTAATAAACTTATCGAAGGAGCCGGTCTTTAATATAGAGTGTCCTCAACAAAAACAAATGGGTGCGAACCATGATAACCTGCTAGTTTAGAGTTTAGAAGGTAGGAGATTTTTTTTTTATCACATTCTTATGAGCATTTAAATGTGTGGAGCTCCAGCCAGAAGCACCGGACTCACCTTGGCGTTCAAATTGAAGTCCAGCAGTACGTTGCTTGGCTTCAGGTCTAAGTGCAGCACAGCAGGTGAGAGACTGTGTAGGAAGTTTATACCCAGAGCCACCTGGTGAGTCAGTCTGAAAGCCAGCGGCCAGGGTGGAGGTCCTTGTAAAGTCTTCTGATAAAAGAGATTTTGAACAGTAATGCAATAACTGTGTTGTACACAAAAAAAAAAAAAAAAAAAAATAGCAAAATGCATTTACTTAATCACATTTAGTAACTTTAACAAAATTGTTTCATGTTAGCAGGGTAGGACATAAAACAATTGTGTTAAAGTAACTAAATATGATTACGGTAAGAAAATGCCAAAAGCTTTTGGATTATTTTTTTCTGTGTATATTTTATACTCTTTTAGCTCATTTTCTTACTTTAAGCTGTCTGAGTACTAGCATCTTCAGATGACACAGACCGGATGTGTTGCACTAACGCTTTTTTTCTTTTACCTGGTTGACCTCGTTTCTACTCTCAGCCTTAACCACAGCAGCTTTCCATCTCAACTTGAGTGCTAAACCCAATCAAAGTTTTGTGAAAGCATTGAAACAGACTGTCTAAAATCCAACAACTCAATCACAGAAAGAGATATAATGTGTGACAATATTAAACTTTATGGTAAAACATTCAAAGCGGTTTGAGATTGTTTAATGCGGCCCAGTTGGTTACCTGAAGGTTGGTCAGACATCCTCTCTCCATGAACTCCATGACCAACCCCAGCTGTGTTGTTGGTCCAGAAGAAGGCAATCGACCCTGAAAAATCCCATGGACGTGTATGACATAAGGGTTGGCTCCCTGACGCATCATGGCCAATTCCCTCAGCAAAGCCTGGCTGGTCCTGTGGTTGCAGGTTTAACCCATCAGCACGTTCTTTAACTCCTCCCCCAAACAGCCACTCTTTCACTACTCACCCATTGTCATAATGAAGCACTTTAATTGCCACATCGCAGCACCACTGCTGGTGCCGGGCTTTGTAGACCTGTCCGAACCCTCCGGATCCTTTCACCTCCCAGCCCGTCAGATGAGAGTCCTGAATCACCACTGGAGCAGGACAGCTGAGCAGCTCCATGGTTCACTAGAGACACCATAACATCTTTTAACTCCTCAGAACATATTTCACTCTGGATAAAGCTTAAAGTTGCTTTTATAATTAGTGTTGCACCGATACCGATACCAGTATTGGGCGGGGGCCCGATCCAGAGCTAAAATGGTGGTATCAGTATTTGGCAAGTACCAACAAATAGGGCATTGATACCATTTTGAGAGGCAAAAGTTTAGTCAACTATTGTCACCCATTCCAGGTAGGCAATAAAAAAATCTACTGGATTCACTTTGTATTAGTCTTTTTCCTGCTTCACAAAGGTAGGCAGCAGCTTGACAAGCCATGATGGCAATTATTTAACATCCAAGTAGTTTGCAGTTCTTCATATAGACACACACACACATCAATTTCAAACAGATGGTATCGGCCGATACTGTACAGCCAGGTATCAGGTATCGGTATCGGGGCCAAAAAAATGGCATCGGCTTAACACTAGTTATAATATCACATTTGTAACAACTGACTGGATATTATGTATGCATGGTCTGGATCTTTGATCAGTTTACTATGTATTCAGGTTGTTACTCAGATACATGGAGGCTCTCCCTGTATCAACATGCACTACAGCATAAAACTAGACAACTGCTTTTTTTGAATATCACTTAATGAAAATACAGTTTCAGGCTCAAATGTGAAGTAATGTAAATAAATCTCAGATCGCCTTCTTTTGCTTCTGTTTGTTTTTGCATGAAGATTTCCTGTTGCTGTTTTAACATGTATATATTGGATCGGAGGTCTTTAACAGGGGTCCGCGACCCCTAGGGGGTCCACAGAGGTACTGCATGGGGGTCGCGAAAGTTTTGGTTGATTAGACATTTTGTATATTCCCCCCTACAATTTTTTCCACTAATTGAAATGTCTTTAAATAAACATTAACATGAATTCAACACACTGTAGTAAACAGATAAATGGAGGCAGAAGTCTTTCAGTCATCAATGCACACATTCATCGACACACAGGAGCTCTTTCAAACTGGGCACCGTTTCATCCACAACACCTGTCCCATCAACCAGGAATCAGAATCAGAAATACTTTAATAATCCCAGGGAGAAATTACTTTCATTACATTCCTCCATCTGTAATAGAGTGACTATAGGACTAGTTTGATATAACACAATTTCATACAATATATATAATTAGGGGGTCCCCGCTCCATCTCGCCATTAGTTTGGAGGTCCTTAGCCTGGAAAATGTTAAAGACCCCTGCCTTAGATGAAGCTGCAGTTGGTTAGAGACATAGGAAAGCAGTTGATTAATGAAGTGGTCATTACTCTGCTTGATCTGCAGTGTTGTTTTTGACAGCCATCTTAGATTCAGTCTTAGTTTTCATCTTCAGGACGAAAACTATCATCAGTTAAGTCACATTTTTGTCATTACTTTATGTGATACTTTTAGTCCAGATTAAGTCGACTAAACCTCAAAAAGGTTTTAGTCTAGTTTTATGTTGCACTTCAGAAAAAAGTAAACCTTTACAATTTTCTAATAAAAAAATGCTACTGTGCAGTTCATCATTGCTGTTGGTCAGAAAACTGAAAAATTAAAACAAACTTGTTTACGAATGAATGTCCTATTTTATACAGAAGTGTCTCACAAAATTTGTGAAAATAGCAGATCTAGTTCATCACATCATATTAGTTAAAAGAGCAGACTTAAGAGCTAACAAAATGTAAGATAAAGGAATGCTTTTAGACACACAAGGGAAGAGCAGAGTTTGTAAGAATTAAGCACCTGCCGCTGCTGCAATGGTCCATCTGTGGTCATGCAGAATGTGCACCACTGCATGCCAGGTGGGCGGTGTAACCAAACAGGATGCAGCATCATACTGCTTAGCACAATTATGCATTTTAAAGGTCTGACAGACCACCTGCTAACATTTTTATTCTAGTCTCGTCCCGTCAATAAATACTCATACCCATGAGTCGTCATGTTTTCGTCATGTTGATGGGCCTTTATGAAAACCATTTGGGCCCTCAGTGCTGATCTCTTTATTAGGTAAATAGTATTAGAGTGCAGTTTCTGTTTCAGAGTTGGCCTTACAGCAGGGTTAGCATTTTAACCCTGAGACCCCAACAGTAAGAGTGCAACATAATTGCAACCCCATAACAAAACATATAAGTATATTCGTATATATCTTGCATCTAAGTTGAAAGGCCTTTTTTTCTCTGTCATTATGATCAATCTAGCATCCTTATCCTTAAACAGCAACGTTTGGGCTTCACTGGTTTTAAATTCTGTATATAATGTCCCTTCAGTCACCTTTTGCTATCCGATTATTAATCCATTCATCCAAAAAGTTGTTCAATTCAATTCAGTCTATTTCTATAGCGCCAATTCACAACACATGTCATCTCAAGGCACTTTACAGTTCAACCAGATCATACAGTCAAATTGATTCAAAGTTTTGTATCTAAGGTAAACCAATCCCTCACACTAAGCATGCTTGTAGCGACAGTGGAGAGGATAAACTCCCTTTTAACAGGAAGAAATCTCCAACAGAACCCGGCAAAACAACATGATGTAATGAAGACATAGCTTATTGAAATAGGAACTAGCAGTCAAGCTCCCCATCAGGGAATCGAACCCTAGTCTCTCACGTGACAGGTGGGGATCCTCACCACTAAATACTTTAAAATGGTCAATCAAACGCTATTTTTAAAAGTATGGATATTTTAAAATTAAAATCACTTTACTTTAAATGTATAAATAATAACAGAATAAGCTGCTTATATGTATTTTTAGGGGGGCGCCACTCTGTTGAGTTGTTATTTTTAGGGTCACAGGCTGAAAAGTTTGGGGAGCACTGAAGGAAATGATGATTGCCCCATCCCAGTTACCTTAGTGTAAACAGATAAGTGGTTGTTATGGTAACATCGTGTGCAGGTGTTAAGCCTCTGTTTTGCTTTGAGCAGGGTTGTTATCAGAATCCTCCCAGATTCCTGTTTGATAGTCCATGCTGCTTCAACAAGTTGCAGCAGGTTATTTGAGCAGCAGCAGCAGCAGCAGTGCAGCCATTTTACAGAGGAAGCCCTGTGCTGTGAGGTGGAACACAAACCGAGGCTTAGGAGACTTCTATAATAGCTAAACCAGAAACATTTTGATCCTGTTTGTGGTTGAGAGAGTAAATAATTTTGGATTTGAACTTTAAAAAAAGAATGTAAATAAAACAGTCCTTTTATTTTTATTTGTTTTAGTCTTGGTAATTGTATTCTTCTTTCAAATAGATGAATGTGAATCATCATATTGAATGCTCTGGTACTGTTTCAACCTTCATGTAATAATATTCTGCAGGGAATTAATAGAGACTCTGCAGTGCTTCAGAGTTTCAGGGTTTGGACAGTTATAAATGATAGCTGCTACATCCTTAACTGTTTCACCAAGTTACAATAAGCATGCACTATCCAGGAATATGGAAACCCCAAACATGCAAAGAAGTTCACCATTAAAGTGTCAACGTGAGAAAAGAAATGGATCATTTTTGGAAAAGCAAAGCCTCACCTTTAGTTTATTCAGTTGTTGGGGAAGTCGCTACAGCAAGAACTGAATAGTGAAAGTCACTGTGCAAACAAAGCTCATCCGTTTCTTTTTCCTGTCTATTGTTCCTTTTTTTTATTCTCTTAATTTTATTTTAGAACTACTTAATCAAATCTGAGGATCTTTTAGTAAGACTTATACAGAAACGCAGTACATTTTCAATATTTATACACCTTTACTGAACCTGTAGATGTAGCTCCTAAACCCTTGAGTCTAAGGTTTAGATCATCCCCCACCTAAAGTGGATTTTCTTTGGTTAGACTGTTTCTCAGGAAAGTCCCAAGATGTGGAACAAAGGTCATTTCTAGCTTCTATGCAGCACTTCAAAAATTCAACTCAAAGCTTCTTTTTCCAATCCGTTCCATTTTTTTTTTTTTTTACTTTTATCAAACATTTAGATTATTTTTAGACAACTTGAATGTTTGTACATGCCAGTGCACTTTGTTTTACTCATCACCCAGTAGGCAGGAAGCATATTCTTTTGTTGCCCAGGATTATCAGTGGAAAAGTATGACTTAAAAATAAATCACTTGTAATAAAATGCTTCTTAACATCAGAACCTCTACTAAACTTTTTTTGAGATTCTGCTCTATTGAAGAATGGCTTAATCATATTAGCAGACTTCAAAAAGATTCATTATTCATTCAAATGAAACCATGAACAACGTTTCAGGCAAAAGGTCCCACTTCTGGGAGGATCACAGTGATTTTGTTTTCTAAAGAAAGAGGGGAACTACTCACCCTTTGAGATTTGCTCTGCTCTCTCATCATTCAGCTGTCCTGAAAGAGTTTCAGGAGAGTAAAAACCCTCTCATTAAACCACGCTCAACACACTGTTTGTAGCTGTTGGTTCAAAGAGAAGTGAAACCTGTCAGAGCCGTCCCTTCCAACTCATTTACTTCTGCTTCCGGGGTTGCACAATAAACAGGGTCGATTATTCTAACTGTTAGTCTGGCTATCAATACATGTAATTCAGCCAATTAAGGGGTTTATATAGAGTTTTAATAATGAATAAACCATATTTGCCCACTTTAAACAAAGCTTAAAAAGATTATCAAAGTTTATTTTACCTTTAAATTCCAAAATCCAACAAATTAAACCTAATTTGTATATATTTTACTCTTTATTATTATTTTTTTTTTCATTATTATTTCTTGCTGGTGTTTAAATAAGGTGGTGTCCCAAGCCAGTTCCTTAAAACACAGGGTGGTTTGCTTTAATTCAGCCAGCAGAGGGCGGTAGAAACTACTAAAACAGGGGGGCTGTTATCACAGGTAGCTGACCTGACACTTTAACAGGAAGTATTAAAACAAAACTGATACAATCAAGAACAGGAGGCTCTAACCAACCAGGCTGTTGTTTTTCTTTTTAATTCTGAGAGTTTTCAGGAGTAATTAATCTCTAATCTGACTGAAAATAACATTTAAAGGTCATAAAGTGGTTAGTTTTAACATCCGCAGCCACAGAGCAAAGTCTCAGGGTGTGTTTGTGTGTGTGAGGTTATCTGTGCTGAAATCTCATCCACACAACTACTTGTGATTCACAACAGATTACAGCAAGCGTTACCTATAGTGATGTCAGATCTTTAGAAGGACTAAATGTTTTAGGGGAAATAGCAGGAGTTTGGAGATACAGATTTAAATTAGGGGACAACCAGAGATAACCAAATTCAAGTTCCGCTCAGGCCCTGAGTGAGTTCTACATCAGTGGATCTAAAGTAATAATGATTTTATTATGGTCGTCATATTTCCTCCTAACTGCAGTTTAAATGGTGGTAACATGTAAAATAGGATGGACAACAAAAGTGCTGTAAAACATTAGGTATCCCACACAGGAAAGGCATTGTAAAGTCTGGCAATTTATCTACATCAAGGACAATTTTTTTTTTTTATTTTGCATAATGACTGATGTATGATATAGCATATAAATACATGAAATAAAGCTTTTTTTTATGTGTCTTGTACTAAGTCCCTTAGTCTGGGGTCTCTGAGGATCTGCTGTTTCCTTATGCTCTTAGCAGGACCTAATGTTGGTAGTCCAATCTTTTGAAGTTATTTACTTTTTAAGTTATTAGAATAGAATAGAATAGAAAATTCCTTTGTTGTCCCACAGTGGGGAAATTCTGGTGTTTACAGCAGCAAAAAGACTATAGAAATTGTCACAGAAATGTGGACCTTAAAAATGTATAAGAATAACATAATAGTGAAGAGTTAATAAATAAAGAAATAAAATACTGTACTGTAATGTGTTTTTAACATTAAAACTGTGCAACTGGAGATAAATAACCAATATACAGCTATGGACATTTTTACAGTAATGGATATTTGAAAATAGCAGCAGCATCAGAGATGTGCAAAATGACAGCAGCAGGTTATTTACCTGACTGATATAGAAACTGTAAAAATCATCATGACTGTTGCAACTTTCTGAGGTTGTTGGGAACAGTGATTGTTGTAAAGTCTTAGAGCTGCTGGGAGGAAGGATGAGTGATAACGCTGCCTGGTGCATTTAGGGTGCAGGAAGAGCTCCTCTTTGGTAGTGTAATAACACAGTTTAAACTGTAGGGAAGTTCCCAGTTGGTTGGATGGTTTTAACTGATTGAAGTTGTTTAAATAAAACTTAATTTGAATAAAATTTGTCCAATCACATGAATCTAGCCTATCCCTTTTATTGAGTCTTTTATAAACCTTATAAAAACCTCAATCTTTTGTTAGATGTTTTCTTATTCTTCTCTCTTTTGATCAGTGCTCGGTAGGGCTGAGACAATTAATTGTGATTAAATCAATTATTGGAATAATTGTCAATTATTCATTAAAATATGCCTTTAGCTGACAGAGCGACCCACTCAGAGCAGCAACTATAACAAAAATAAAAAAATAAAAAACTTTTTGTGCTAAAAAAATCTTAGTCTGTCTATAATGCACAGTGGGTAGCTCTGCTGCCTTGCAGCAAGAAGGTTCTGGGTTCTATTCCTGGCCCGGGGTCTTTCTGCATGGAGTTTTCATGTTCCCCCTTGAGCATGCGTGGGTTCTCTCCGGGTACTCCGACTTCCTCCCACAGTCCAAAAACATGACTGTGAGGTTGATTGGCTTCTCTAGATTCTCCTTAGGTGTGAGTGTGGGCGTAAATGGTGGTTTGTCCTGTTTGTCACTGTGTTGCCCTGTGATGGACTGGCGACCTGTCCAGGGTGTACCCCGCCTCTTGCCCATTGACAACTGGAGATAGGCACGAGCAGCCCTCGCGACCCCAATTGGGACAAGCGTGTCAGAAAATGGATGGATGGATGGATGGATTATACATCAATTAGGCCTAACAAAAAAATAAACTGATTTGTCTTTAGGAAAAGGATCTGATAGGGTTAATAATCATAACCACTTATTGTCCAAGAAATTATTTTCTTTTCTGCAGAAAAGGGAGAGAGAGGAAAGTCCAAGGGTGAGACCCCTTGAAAAGTCTGTACTCAACTCTGCCCAAACCTCTCTTTTCTGCTGCTTTTATTATTGGACTTCAAACGAATTATAGGAGGGGTCTGATGTTACCAGGAGGGGTCTGATGTTACCAGGAGGGGTATGATGTTACCAGGAGGGGTCTGATGTTACCAGGAGTGGTCTGATGTTACCAGGAGGGGTCAGACGTTATCAGGAGGGGTCAGATGTTATCAGGAGGGGTCTGAAGTTATCAGTCACTTATGGCTGCATAGCTGGATAATACCAGTCCCTGAAAGAAATATTTGTTCATTGTTCAAATAATGTTCATTTAGAATAACACTTAACATTCTTGGGATAGATACCTGTAAATTCAAATAAAATGATAACATATACATTTTTCTAACATGATAATTACTAGCAGCCCTTGTACTCAGATAAATTAGGCATAATATTTCACTTATTCATATCTTAAGGTCTACACTTTAGACTTTAATGTCTCATACTTGCCTTTTTTGTTTCATTTTTTAGCCGATTTAACATCTTTGACCCTTTTTGACCAATCAATCATAATCTTATTTGAAATGAATTGAAAAGACAAATGGAAACTAAAGGAATTGATGGAGTTTATAGGAAAATGCCCTATCATAGTGAGCTTTTTTATCATAGTGAGGAAATACTTTGCTTCCTGTTTAGTACAGAACAAAAAAATCCGTTTTCCTTTTAAAGGCTTTTTAGTAAGATTTTTTTTTTTATCTGTTGTTCCGACCGAGGTTGGTGGAAAACGCTCAAACATTGCGCAGCAGAGGGTTAAAAAAAGTCATGTCCGACGTCACTGGAAATTCCCCTCGCGTTGTTTCTGAGTCTGACGCGGCTCAAAACAAACTTTAAACCATAAAATATGTTTTTAAACCCAAATATTGTATATCTAAAAAAAATAAATAAATAAAAAAAAAAAAAAACAAGCGGTGAAGTTTATTAGCTGGTGTTTGAATAAAGAGAGCGCTTTGAAGTAAAGTGAAGGAGCGGTTTGTTTTGACTTGTTGCGCATGCGCACTCCTCTGTCTGTGCAGCCCCTCTGTCCTCAGCTTCAGCTCAGCTTCCAGCTCCTGCTTCACTTTCAGTTTTGCCTTCGGGTTTTTTTCGTCGCTAGTGTGATGCTCGGGGTCAGGCCCTCAGCTCTGTTGGGGACCGCCGCTGTGACGTCACCGTGGGCCCCTGGCAGCGCGTGCCCTCCTCCTCCTCCTTCCCTCCCAGCAGCAGAACTTTGGACTCCCAGCTTGTTTGTTTGTTTTTTTAGACTGCGGAAGATCCGCTTTCAGTCAGAATCCACCGCGCAGAGACTGATCCACCTTTAATGAAGAGAGATCTAATGAAATATTCATGGTTTGGATCCATGTTGGAACTTTCTGATGCCTTTCCAGCACGAGGACAGCCTCTGTTTCCTGGTTTGTTTTCTCCCAGATGTGAGGTAAAACCTTTCCCCCCACAGGCCCTCATCCAGAGGCTGCTTTCACTTTACGTTTCTTCATAAATGTTGGATGTTGCTGTAAGTAGAGCTGCTGTGTTGGTTCTGTACTGCTGTGGATTAGAAGCATCTAATGGGGTCAGCTCTATAAACACAAACTTGGACTGTTTTTAATTTGGTCTAGACTTTTTATTGTTTTTTAAAGCGGATCATCCACTTTGTTTCTTGTTTTAATAAAGCACATTTGATCATGGAGTAATTAGATCACATGATTTATGGGTCTTTAAGGCAGAAGTTCCCAAACTTGTAAACTTTTGACCCACAAAATGTGTTATGTACGAAGAGGATTAGGGCCACTGAAAAAATAAAAAAACAAGTTAACTGATTTTTACATTTTATTTCAGCATAATATGAGAAAAAATTCAGAATTCTGACTTTAATCTCAGAATTCTGAGTTTTTTCTCAGAATTCTGACTTTAATCTCAGAATTCAGTCTTTAAACTCATAATTCTGACCTTTTTTCTCAGAATTCTGACTTTAATCTCAGAATTCAGTCTTTAAACTCAGAATTCAGACTTTAATCTCAAAATTCTGACTTTTTTTCTCATAATTATGACTTTTTTTTCTCAGAATTCTGACTTTAATCTCAGAATTCAGTCTTTAAACTCAGAATTCAGACTTTAATCTCAGAATTCTGACTTTTTTCTCAGAATTCTGACTTTAATCTCAGAATTCAGTCTTTAAACTCAGAATTCAGACTTTAATCTCAGAATTCTGACTTTTTTCTCAGAATTCAGTCTTTAAACTCAGAATTCAGTCTTTAAACTCAGAATTCAGTCTTTAATCTCAGAATTCTGACTTTTTTTCTTGGAATTCTGACTTCAATCTCAGAATTCAGTCTTTAAACTCAGAATTCAGACTTTAATCTCAGAATTCTGACTTTTTTTCTCAGAATTCAGTCTTTAAACTCAGAATTCAGTCTTT